CTTCTTTTGTTAGATGGATTCCTAAATATTTCAAGTTCTTGGATGTTATTGTGAAAGGTATGGTTTCCTTAATTTCTCTCTCAGCAAATTCAGCAGTGTAGCTGGATACAAAGTCAACACCCAGAAATCGATAGCATTCCTATACAGAAACAACAATCGATCAGTTTTTAAAAATAAATGGATGAAAAGATTGAGTGAATGTTAAGGAAAGTACAGGGTGGGTCAGGTAAAGAATGAATGGAGTGATGAAAGCTCCCATGTTCCTGGCTTCACTCCAGAAAGGAACCCTGATACTTGCCCCTAAATAAACCAGTCCTCTTTTCATTACAATTCTTCCCCACATGACCCAACCTTTCAGTCCACAACATGAAACGAGGCATCAATTGTTGGCTGAAACAATAGTCCTAGGGCCTTCAGACCATTACAACCAGACACTCGGTGCTCAAGTGTGAAGACTGGTGTCTTCCACCTTCCTGTTTTGCTGTTACAGACGGGAAGGAAGAGTGTTGCAGTTATTTCTGCCATATAACAAGGCAGTTCAAAAACTTCATATTAAAACAATGATTTGTGATTTCTTATGGTTCTCTGAGTTGACAGGGCTCAGCTGGGGCCATGTTATGCACTATGTCATATAGTTGAGGTCATATACATGGCTTCATTCTTCTGGAACTTAGTTGGACTTGAAGCATCCAAGCTGACCTACATGTGGCTTCTCAACTCCTAGTAGCTAATGTTGGCTTCATAGTATGAGAGTGGACTTCCTGGCTGTTCTACAAAGATATGTCCCAATGTACAAGCATTTAACCCTCCAGGCATGGTAGTGTAAGCAGGAGGATCACTGCAAATTTGAGGCCAGCCTGGGCTACAAAGTGAGTTCAAGGCCAGCCTGAATTGCATAATGAAACCTTGTCTCAGAAAAAAGAAAAAAGCATTTAAGTCTCTGCTGATATCCTACAGAACAAAACGGGTCAAATGGTACATAGTTAAATTCTTAGGCATTATGGGAGAGACTACATAAGACCATAAATATAGGGAGATGGAGCTCATCAGAGGCCACCATTATGAGAATCTACCATCAAAAAGTAAGAGATTCTGGTTACCAAAGATCAGAAGGGGTCATCATCAAAGTGAAATGCTGTAGAAAGGAACCTAGAAAGGAAAATATTTGCTAGGATCATCTTGTGACGTTAGTCTTATGAAGGCAAATACACACTCTACTCAGAAGTGTGTTATTGTGAGCATGGGCAGTGCTGTTTCCATGATTCAAAATGGTTTCTTTAGCCAGGCATAGTGGCTAGGAAGGATTCAGACGGAAACTCTTGAGAAGAAGATCAGATTTTCACCATCCAAACGAAGGTTAAATCAAAATAACCCTTTTTCAGGCACTGCCTTATAGGCCAATTTATGAGCCACATAAAGAAATTGACTTTTTAATTCATGCTTCCAAAAGCTAACACTAAAAACAGTATTACTAACCTTGAGCACTAGTTGTACTTGTTGAAACGACTCTTAGCGCTTTCCATCTTTCAAATCTACTTGTGACGAACAAACAATGGCCACAGTTTTTGGTTGGGGTAAAGTTGGGAGAATGTGAAAAATGTCCCTCAGGTACTGAAAGCAACTCTGGAGAATAATTTTTAAAATTGATTTGCAAGCTGGATGTGGCTGTGCACACCTATTATCCCAGCATTCTGGGAGACTGAGGCAGAAGAATCCTAAGTTTGAGCCTAGCCCCAGCAATTTAGTGACTCAGTGAGACCCTGTCTCAAAATAAAAAAAAGGGGAGTTGGAATGTAGCTCCGTGCAGAGGCCCTGAGTTCAATCCCCAGTAGCACACACACACACACATGCATGCACAGTTGATTTACAACATGGTTTTAATAAAGATGGAATTGTTGGAATAATGAGATCCTTATAAATAAGTCACCCAGTTCAGTAACTTATAATGCATCTGTGTTCCAAGTTCTAATACTCCTATATTATTCTTGAATATTTTTCTTAATCCCAATGTACACCCCCCACCCCTGTGTCCAGTGCTGGCGACTGAACCCAGAGCCTCCTACATGCTAAGCAAGCACACCACCATGTAGCTACATCTCAAACCCCAGCTGCACTTTATTACAGGTGAAAATATCCAGGTTGGCCAGCCTCTGAAATGCTCCACAATGGTCTCTGCCTTCCAGTGTTCACTCCCATGAATGGAAGTGGACTTAATGATTTGCTTCTAATAATTAGGAAACAGCAAAGGTGATTGGGTATCACTTCTGAGATTAGGTTACAGAAAGACTGACTTCCTGTTTGTGATCTCTTATACACTCTCTTTTTCTTGGAATCTTTGCTTTTGGGAAAGTAAGCTACCATGCAATAAGCTATCCTGTGAAGGGGCCTATTTGACAAAGGGCTAAAAGAGGCCTCTAGCCAATGAGCTGACTACTGGAAATGCTCAATCCAATAACCTCTGAAAACCTAAGCTCTGTCAACAACCATGTGGGTGAGTTTGGAAGCACAGTACCTTCAACAGAGCTTTCAGATGAAACCACAGCTCAGGCTAACACCTTGATTCCAGTCTCGTGAGACATCCTGAGCCGAGGATCCAGCCAAACCACTCCATAATTCTGACCCCGAGAAAGTGGAAGGTAATAAATGTTGTTTTAAGCCGCTAGGTTAGGGGCTAGAATCACTAGTACAGTGTGATCAAGGAAGGATGCATTCTTTTTTATTGTTTTATATCTGTGAAGAACATTATTTCAGTATATACATATAACATTTAACATAAGATTCTTATACATTCTAAAATGTTAAATATTCTAAAATGTGAATGAATAAATCAAAGGGACTAATGAATCAGTAAGATTCATTCTTCTAGGACACTTTGGGTAAAACTCAGTATGATGGTCACCTACAATGTCCACTTTAGCATCACTGAATGTTAAAATTTGTCTTTGAGGCAAAGACTTCCACTGCTTATTTCCCTTTTTAAATCTCCATTTCTTCTTCAAGGGCAACTTGTTATTCAGTCACTTCATCTTATACCATCTTAAAAATTCAATTTTTATCAACAGAATATCCTGGAATGGCTTCCAGAGAGGATATTAATTAAAGCAACCATACAAACAGACTCACATCTCTGGGTAAGTCTTATTTCATGCTTGAGCTCACTTCCTATCCTTTGGAGACAGCCTTTTTCCGAGAGTAGCTCTAAGCCTGTGTCACTCTTGAGAGATGACCAGGTTGGCCCATGGCCAGTAGCTTGTTTGTGGGAGCCTTTTTTCCCCCTCTCCAGCCAGCAAGTTCATCCGACTGTCTGGTCTGAAAGCGAGGCAGCTGGATGAAGTCATAGCTGCCGTTCAGCCTGGAACCAGCCCGTGATGGCTTCTCACAGTCATGCTGAATGACTGTCCACGGCAGAGAGGTCTTGCCCTCCGAAGGAGGTGTATTTTTTGGGTTGAAGCTTGGACAAAAGATACAAGTTAGCTGTTTCTTCCCTTCCGTCCTTTCTTTCACTAAGGGCTCATTAAATAAACTGAGTTGTTAATAACAGAGTGATTTCCCTGCAGGTCTTGAAGTTGCCAAAAACACCCAATTTATAAACCCAAAGTAAGCAAGTTTACATTATGGGTATATATGTTGGCAGCTTGCATGTAAAAAAATAAAAATTACAGATGTGAGGCTCCCTTGTACTGTCCGCTGCTAGACTTCAGATTGTGCCAACATTTCCATTACAACCCGTAACTCTAAGGGTCAAAATGAGAACAAGGAAGAGAATACCCCACAGGGGCTTGGCCATCTCTGAGAAGGGTGGGTTGGTGATTTTCCTGACTCAGACTTGGATGCGGATCTTCATGCAAGCAAGAATAAAGATCAGATTTCAAGAGGACTCAATGGATTTTGAGCGAGAGACAAAACTCTTGCTTTCTGTTGATGGAAGTCTGGTTGTTTGCATTTCTGTCAGTCAATAACTCTGCCAGACCTTCTGGACCTGTCACTGTGGGAAACTTCCACAGTTTTCTATTGGATCTTTTATATGAGAACTTGTGAAAAGAGCTGAGAAATCTGTTTTACTATGGAACCTAAAGACTGTTGTGAATCATTTAGGGCTGCATCAGGGTGAATAAGTCTTTGGAATCTGAAGACAGCTCTCTTGCTGTCCTGAATATAGATGAATGTGGACTCTCCACAAATGCACATCTGACTCAGAACCACTGATGCCAACTCAGTTTCATCTTGTGGTGGCTGGTCAATAGCAGAGTATTTTCTCCCAGACATTCAGCAGCCTATTCTCCAAGAGAGAATCTTTGCTTGGCTGGTAGGGTTCACTGATGACATGGGGTGGGGGTTACTGTCATGTACAAGGGCAAGAGGGGAGCATGCCGATCAGAGCTGGAGGGCTTAGAGATCATTGGCTGTGCCAGTGGCCAATGGGATGGTAGATCGGATATGTGTTCCTAATTCTTAATTCCCTTCTTGTAGTGGACTTATATATCCACACCCTTTGTTGTGTGACTTTGCAGTGCCTCTCAGGAGAGGAAGCAGATTATGTATTATTGATCCATTAGCTTTGGTCTTGGCCATGGGGTTTGTGTCAGCCAAGGAAATACAGTATATGTAGAAGTGAAAGCATGGTAGTTTCCAGCTGAAGACATAAGAGGTTTTGCGTGTTCCCTCTCACTTCTTTCCTTTTTTAATTTCTGCCATCTACTATGAGAAGAACATACCTGGGTAGGTGATGGTCCCACTACGAAGGGAAATGTGGAATAAACCTGAAGCAAAGTTGAAACTTGGAGCTGAGCCCAACTAAGCCACAGTTAATTCTTATATCTTCAAATTGGAAATGGATGTTAATTGTTTGTTATAAACCACCAAGTTTCACAGTTGTTTATTGTCTTAGTTGCTCTTCTCATTGCTGAGACAAAACACCCAACACCCACAACTTAGGTTTCAGTCCATATTTGGCTGGCTCCAAGGCAGGGTGGCACATGGAAGAGAGAGGCAACAGTTCATGGTGGTAGAAGACAGCAAAAGCAGCAAGAGACGCCAACAGTGTCTTTCTTCCCTTTTGTCTTACCCAGACTGCTGGGATTAGGGCAGTGCAAAACCATTCAGCGAACTAATTTAATAATCACATACCCTTAATTCAAGCATCACACACTCTACATTCAGCAACCTCTGAAAAAGCCTGTGACTGCATGAGGCTTTGGGGGGACACCTAGACACAAGGCCTAACATTTATTACACAGAATCTCTCTCCCTCTCTCTCTGTCTCTCTGTCTCTGTCTCTCTGTCTCTCTGTCTCTCTCTCTGTCTCTCTCTCTCTCTCTCTCTCTGTTGGGGGTGGAAACCAGGGCCTCATGCATGCCAGGCAAATGCTCCACTACTGAGCTATATCTCCAACCCTTATTATGCAGAATCTTGGCTAACTATGTAGTTGTACATAATTAGGCAGTTGTTTATTTCAAGCATAATCCTGACTAATACACTGCGGTGTATCAGTTAGGGCTCACTAAAGGAACAGATTTAATATAAAATATAATATATATGTCCCCTAAAGAGTTGGAGGTAGAAGAATGTAAAATGGCCATCTGCATGTTGGATAGCTGGAGGGTCCCAAGATTGAAGGTCTGGAGGTCAGTGCGGAATCTGGTGTGAGTCTGCGTGGGCAAGCCCAAAGGTCTCCACGGGAATGATGGAGAGTCTGCGCTGGAAGCCTGAAGGAACTGGGGTCGGACATTCAGAGGCAATGGGGAAGACTGGAGCTCTTCTGCAAAAGCAAAAGGGAAGACTTCCTTCTTTCCTTTCTTATTCCATCCAGGCTGCAAGCCTATTGATTGGTGCCACCCACATCCAGGGTGGGTCTTCCCTCCTCAGCGTGCAGCCTGCAAGTCTGTCATCCACAGACACACCCAGAACTGTGCTCACTAATCCAATCAGCTTTTCGTAATTCATTCCAGATGACATCACAGTTAACTATCACACTCAGAAGCCCCCATATTCCCATGCTCAGATAATAGAGTTTTCATTCTAGCTGAAAAGAATATTAGTTATTCTATCACTATTCCCTCATGAGTGCACCAAAGCCCTGGCAGTGAGATGTCAAGCTCCTGGCGGTGAAGTGACAAACCCTGAGGTACAAGTGTTTGGTGGTAGAGTCCAGACCTGACCCCAGACCCCTAGATTCCCACATCATGATAAAATAAAATGCTTATTTCTACTCAAGCAAGCAGTTGATGTACTGTACTGGTACGAACATCAGATCTACTGTGCAGTAAAACCTAACCAACATGATCTATAGACACAGCAAGCGAAAGGCAACATAATCACCGTGTACTAGTTTCAGAAATTCCTCCTGGGATATTTTCTCATCAGCCTAGACACAATATATATATTTTTAAACATGAGGCAGGTGTCTAGTTCCTGAATTCCATTGCTGGATGGGCGAGACAGGAAGAAAAACATTCTATTAGAGATTAAATGTTGATCTGGCCTATCCCATAGTCACCACTTATACAGCCCCCATTACAAAAATAACTGTTAACTCTTCATTTCTCTTTTAATACAGACCTCGATAATAAGTTTTAAAAACTGTTGTCTTACCATTTCCTTCAAGATCTAGCATGGGGAAGGTAAAAGTACATGGACAAAATTCTTGAGAATGTTTAAATGTCATCTCTTTACCATAAACCTATCCTCCTATAACTTTTTACTGCTTGAATTTTTCCTAGAGTTTAAATCGTTTTGGGAAAATCATTCCAAGGGAAACTTTGGGTTTTTTTGAAGTAGTGGGAACTGAACCCAAGCCCTTCACACTGAGCTACATCCAGATCTGCTCCTTAAAAAATTTTTTTTTTTTAATTTTAAGACAGGATCTCACTAAGTCATTAAATTGCCCAGACTGGGCTTGAACTTGTGATCGTCCTGCTTCAGCCTCCCAGAATGACCAGCATATAGGCATGTGTCACTGCACCTGGCACTCACTTCTAAATTGTAAAGCTGACTGAAGCTAAGTTTCACAGAGACCTCTGCCAATGAGGGTCTTTACAGGCTCAGGCCAAGGTTCTCCTGGGAGAGGCACGGGGTGGGAGACTAAGTCCCCTTTTCTTGGCTTCATGTTCCACAGTTCCTCTTCACCTGATTGTGGAGCAGACTGTAAAAGCACCATGAAGGTGGTAAATTATAAATTATAAAAATGTGTCTAATCCTCCTTGCTGCTGTGGCCAACATCCCCCAACCAGGAACTCAGCCCCCACACTCTACGTTGGTATTGTGGGTGGTTGCTCCCCACTTTTATTGTATACATTGTCTCCTGGGTGTCCTTCAGAGGTCTGAAAACTCCAGACAGTCTATCACATAGATGTATTGTCGTACAGATGTCAATGAAATCTGGATTCTAACAGGAAGCAGTTAACACACTCAGGAAAGGATGACTCAGGAAGTTTTGTTTACAAAGTTGGCATAGGGGAACCACTAAGGGTATTGCAGTAGTCTGTGACTAGTAGCAACCAAGTCGTCACCACTCCTAGGCCTGAAGGCTTTAGGGGAGGGAATGCTTCCTGCAGCTGGGAAGCGGCTCATGAGACTTGGAGTTGTCACAGGGTCAGATACCTGGAAAAAGATGCTCAAGGGGTATCTGCAGCCTGAAGCAAGACTGCAATGAGGGAGCCACAGGCATAAATGCTCTGTCCTCGCTCTTGGTGGTCTCTGCTCTTTTGCAGCTACTCTCCATATGTCAAACACACCTGGAAGTGAGAGGGCGTGAGCAGTTTAGACTTTCAGTGTCTTAGCAGTGAGCAGGGGACAAAGCAAAGATACCTGACTAGTGCATCCGGACTGCCCACATCAATGACTACCTGGAGGTATCTAGTTTATAAAATGCTTCTAAACTCTGGGAAGCTGAGGCAGGAGAACTGCAAGTTCAAGCCCAGCCTGGGAAACTTAGTGACTTAGTGAGACCCTGTCTCAAGAAAACCAAACACACACACACACCACACACACACATACACACACACCAACAAAAGTTTGGGGATGTAGCTTAGTGTGAAGGCCTTAGGTTCAATCCCCAGTATTGGAGAGAAATCTTCTAAACTACTGAAGTATAACTCATACCTGGTAGTGAGATTTTTTTTTTTTGGTTTTG